TTTTGTAGCACCTGGACAAGAGAAAAATGTGTGCAAATTGATCAAATCCTTGTACGAACTTAAACAAGCTCCGAAACAATGGCATTTGAAATTTGATGACGTGATGTTGTCAAATGGATTCAAAATCAACGAATGTGACAAATGTGTTTATGTTAAAAATACATCAAATACATATGTAATTGTATGTCTATATGTAGATGATATGTTGATCATGGGGAGTAGCCATGACGTGATCATGGATACGAAACATATGTTGAAAAGAAATTTCGACATGAAAGATATGGGTTTAGCTGATGTAGTTCTTGATATAAGAATTATCAGAACCCAAGATGGAATTATCTTGTCACAATCTCATTACGTAGAGAAAGTGCTCAAGAAATTTAATGCCTATGAAGGTCCTTTGTCTAGGACACCCCTTGATCTTAGCATAAATCTGGAAGCCAATAAAGGTCAACCAGTTGCTCAATTGGAATATTCACGGATAATAGGGAGTCTAATGTACTTGACGAACTGTACACGACCAGACTTGGCCTATCCGGTGAATAAGTTGAGTAGATTTACGAGCAATCCCAGTCATGAGCACTGGAATGCTTTGAAAAGGGTACTGAAGTACTTAAAGTACACCCTTGGATACGGGCTAAAAATACTCGAGATATCCAGCAGTACTTGAAGGATATTGTGATGCAAGCTGGATCGGATTCGAGAGATTCTCACTCCACAAGTGGATATGTTTTCTGTATCGGAGGAGGAGCTGTTTCGTGGAAGTCCACAAAACAAACATGTATAGCTCGGTCAACCATGGAGTCGGAGTTCATCGCTTTAGATAAAGCTGGTGAAGAAGTCGAGTGGTTTTTATCCGATATTCCATGTTGGAATAAACCTTTGTCGCCTGTGATGATTCACTGTGATAGCCAAGCTGCTATAGGAAGGGCGCAAAGTAACATGTACAATGGTAAGTCTAGACATATTCGTCGTAGACATAATACCGTTCGCCAATTGATCACAAATGGTATTATTTCCATTGACTACGTAAAGTCTAAGGAAAATTTGGCTGATCCTTTTACTAAAGGATTGAATAGAGATCAATTGGGGATACTGCTAGAGAGAATGGGATTAAAAATCCACAATGAAAAGAATAATCATAGTGGGAACCCTACCTTGCTGAATGGAGATCCCATAAACTTGGTTCAAGGGGAAAACTAAACTATGAAAATTCAGCGGAGCACTTGGAACATTAAAATGTCCAAATCTATTCCCTAAAAGCAATCCAAGTGCAAGATTACCTGTTGATTGTGGTGAGGGTAAGTCATCTGGACTTTTAATGAATCCCTAACCTTTTAAAGGTAGAGTAATACATGATACTCTTGACAGGGAGGTCACGTATATAAGTGTGAAGTGAGGGCCGCTTCAATTGTAAACACTTATGAATCCAAAGTGTTGTCCATGGCCAAAACGGACACAACAATAGAACGGAATGGAGTTAAGGCTCTATTGTGTGAATGTCATTGTCTTGGTGTACACTATGGAGGAATAGTTCAAGGCACTATGTCCACTAAGCCGCCAGTACATCCGATGATGTTTACTAAGAAAGGTTCAAAGCCACAAGCTACCTTTTCTGATGCAATAGGGTATTGTGAGGATTGAGCACAAGAGTCTGCATACATGCATACATTTGATTTCCACTCATGTGGGGGATTGTTGGAAAATCAGTAATATAAAATTGGGTATGACCTGATTTTGACTGATTTGTTGATGGCTAAATATTTAATTCGGATTGAATTAAATTGTGTAGAATAAATTCTACGTTCCGAGTAGAAACTCGTAGTATATTTGATTTCTCAATACTGATTTTTGGTGAGTGAGAAATAAATGTTAGCCTTAAATGGGCACGCAGAACGTTGGTTGTGGGATTCGAATGGTTAAAAGTCTTATCCCACAGAGAACTCTTGAATGAGATTAACTCTCTTTATTATGATAAAGAGAGTTGGAGAGGTCACAACAATAACAAAGTTATCTACCATATGTTGGTATATAAACCGAGATGGTTTTGGACTTGGGTTTCGACACAACCCCTGTGACATCGTTCCAGGTACATTGAACTTGGACGTGTGACCTTTCAACCACATAACAGTTTCAAAGAGTTATGAGGTGAATTAATGGTGAGTTAAACCTGAAACATTTTGCAATTAAAATCAAGTCATAAATGGATGTTAATGGCTTGGTGGTTACAAGCCATGAATGGTTGTAAATGGAGCCATGAATGGTTGTTAATAGCTTGGTGGTTACAAGTTTTGAATAGTCATCAAAACTAGCCATGAATGGCTTTAATGGCTTAGTGGTTACAAAATGAAGAGTCATCCCCCACCTAGGTGGAAGTCCTATAAATAGGACAGTGTAGAGACTGAATGAGATACGAAAGTACACAACATTTTCATACAATCTGAATACTTTCAAAGCCTCACGCATCATATCATAGTGCTCAGTTCTCGTCTTCGAATCCGTTCGCTGGAACTCTGAAGGCTGGTGTGCTACAGCTTCCGAGTGCATTGCCGTTGTATCTTTGGGGACATTACGCAAAGACCCGTCAGCACTATACGGGGCGTATTTATCTTGTGGAAAGATTTCAATCGCCTCGGCTTTCAATCTGTCCACATTTGAGTTGTAATTTTTATTTTGTTTTAGTTCTACTTGTCCGAACTGAACTCTTCAATCAGTTCATAGGTTCCCGTTGTAATTCAAAACACACTTTGTATAACAATCGCAAGACAAATATTGTCAACCTACTGAACTGATGGCATCCACCGGAAAAGGATCACGAACTCAACATCCGATCAACCCCGATGTGGCTAAGGACTGCAAGAGTCCTAAGAAGGCTGGGCCAAAGAAGGCACAACCGAGTGCCCTTGTTGTTGAACACGGCCTTGTGCCGGGTGAACTGACCGACTTTGATATATTTTTTTAAAAAAAGGTACATTTCACTTCATCTATTTTCTACCATTGTTCTAAAAGTCGGCTTAGGCGGCGCCTAGGCGCTAGGCGGTGCCCTGGCGCCTCCGATATGCACAAATCGGCCAAAAAAATTGGTCAGGCGGCTAGGCGGTGCCTAGGTGGCCCTAGGCGCTCCTAGGCGGCCTTGGCGGGCTCAGCGGCCAGGCGGTTAGGCGGCGCCTAGGCGGGCGTAGGCGGACCTAGGCGTTTCTAGGCGGGCTCGGTGGCAATTTTTCAGTTTTTTTTTTTTTTTTTTTTAAATACTAATTACATTATTTTGTTCTCATGTTTTCTTTGAAATATATTAATATTATTAATTGGACTTAGGAGTGTCGATTTATTATAAATTGGGATACTTTTATTTTGTTAGTAGTTAAATAAATAAAAAATAAGGTATTTAATATTGATTTCTAGGCCCCGACTAGGCGCCGCCTAGGCGCTCTAGGCGCTAGGCGCTGGTCGAGTGCCTAGCGACTTTTAGAACACTGTTTTATACAAATCTCACTAACACAATTTAAAGGTAAAATAATAATAATAATAATAATAATAATCATGTATTTTTGCAGGAAAAACTAAATTCTATTTACTAACATAGTTTAAACTATTATAATTTCGATAAGTATGCATTTATTTTTATTTTTTAAATTTTCTCTTCCACAAATCAAATCTTATCATACAAAATTAATACCATTTATTCGCATTATTTCATTTATTAAACTCCATATTTTTTTACCATATTTTAAAAGTTAATAGTTTTTTTTATCTGTATTGCGTTTTTTTAAAAAAAAAAAAAAAAAATTCATGAGAACGACCATTCTGAATACCATAATTAACCATCCTTGCAAAGGGGCTGACTAGAATTTAATAATATATGCATCTCTCACCTTTAAATCCATAATTTTTATCAACTGAGAAAAATAGATGTAGAAATAATTTGAATATCATGGCCCCAAAAAAAAAAGTTGATAATAAATGAGATGACTAAAATAAAGTATTTTAAATAAATGTTCATCCAATAAGAAAAAAATGTTTGTCTATCATGTCCAATCAAAAATAATAATTTTCTTCATATTTGTTCAAAATAACAATTTGATTTTTCCTCTTATAAAGGACTTTAATCATCCACACTCATTATCTTAATAATTTTACATTCAGTATTTTACTAATTTTATAATTATTTATTTCTTATTTATTAATTTTATATATCACATCAATTTTATATCCATTTACAAATGTATTAAACCACAGCATTCACCCACCCTAAAGAAATTTCAACTCTTCCACTAACTTCTGTTTATTAGACTTATATTATTTAAATAAATTTGTAGTTAATCTAAACATTCTTTTCTTTTCCCAAAATATTCTTTATCCCAACTAAAAAAGACATTCATCCAACAAATATGAAAATCAACTCTCACTAAAATTTAATTTAGTCAATTTAGCTAGAGTTTTCCCAAAATATTCTTATATCCCACAGCAGGCAAAGCTGTTCCTGAGTTGATAAAAATGAAAGATGAAACATAAACATCACCTCTGAGAATGGATCCCTTAGGCCGTTAGGCCCGTACCCCGTGGGGGGCTGGCAGTTCGTGGTGAAGTCTCGGATGAACAACACAATTAAATAGCATGACACAGCCACGAATATTCTCGTAAATAATAATAATAATAATAATAATACTAATAATAATAATAATAATAATAATAATAATAATAATAATAATAAATAAACAACACAATTCTCAATGCTAATCCGTTGTTAAAATGAAAGATGAAACATAAACAACACAAGTCTCATTGTCAATTCATGTAATGTCCGTTTCAATTCTAGTTCTATCAGCAAACTCATACTATGTTAAAGCATGACACAGCCACGAATATTCTCGTACGGCTTTAAGCCGGTTCTTCTCACTGGGAAAAAACAAAAGATGAAACTAAAGGCTGAAAAAAACACGATAAAAATGGAAAAGCCCTTTCGCCAGTCAAGCGATAGATATTGCAAACACCCGGGTGCCTTACAGTTCGTCCTGCAAAAGAATTCCACGAAAACAAATGGGTACACAAATGAGGAGTAAGCCAGGAAATATATATATGTATATATATATATATATATATATATATATATATATTGTGTATGTGTGCAGAAAACCCAAACTGAAAAAGCAAATGAACTTCATACATGTTTATCATCAGCATCAGATGCGTCAGAGTCGGCTGTGACATCAACATCATCAGAGTCTTTTTTGTCATCAACATCATCGTCTCCATCCTCAGCCTAAAATAATACAAAATAATGAGATTCCAATCAGGAAGAACCGAAGCCAATATGTTTAAAAAAAAAAAAAAAATTGAGCTTACATCCGACTCGAGTGTGTCCTCATCATCCTTAGATTCCTGAAAACAGAAGATTTGAAATTTAGGACACCATAAAGCACCATAAGGTCAGAAATAAAGGCATGCAGCAGAGTAATTTCATTCAATGTCAAGATACCTCTTCTTCTCTCTTCTTTTCTGCCTCATCAAAAGCTGCCTTCTCGGCCTGCAATACCAGAATCAAATATTATACCAGTCAGTTGCCAATGACAAGCTTGACAAACTCGCTATACTTTTTTGCAGATAAAAGCTGCCAACAATCGGATATGTGAAAGTAAAAATGAATCATGAGTAACAAATCAAACATACATCCTTTTGTTTGCCCCATGTATCTTCAGCTACTTGCTTAGCATATTCAGGGTCATCGGTTATCAAAATGTTATCAAACAATGTTCCTGATTTCACCTGCAATGTGGATATTCGCTCGAGAAGTGCTATAACAAAAGATAAATATGAAAGAAAAATGGAAAATAATCTTTTACCTGCCACAACTCAATGCCGACATACTTCAAGTTAGGGAAAACATAGAGATCTGGATCATCTTTAAACTCTGCAATCATGCAAATGTCGAGGTTGGAATACATGAGACCATTATAATATTGAGCGGACAGGTGCTAACTAATGAGAGGTAAACAAACCTGGGTTGTCAATCATTGGTGCCTTCCACTTGCCCTTGTAGTTGGGGTTCTTAATTTTCTGTCAATGGAAAAGGGCTAGTTATACACAAGCTGATTGAACTTGATAGTTGCAGTAACAACAGGAAACGAGATCCCCAATGATTGAAAAAGTTAGTTATATAAAAGTTGATCGAAGTTGAGAGTTTAAGTAAAAACAGAAAATGTAAATCCCCAAACCTTTGCCTTCCATGGACCCTTGTACTCTGGGTTGGGCATGGTTGGAGGAGTCCAGAGGCCATCCTCCTCGTCATCCCAGTCTTCAGGCTGCAACCAAAAGAGAGTTAAAAAAAAATCGATACATACAAGTCTCTTGACGTATCGAATTCAGATATAGGACATGTTCAGTCACCTTTTTGGCTTCAGGATCTTCAATCTCTTTTGGGATATCATCATAGCCCTGTTTAGAAAATATGAGATATTCACAGTTTAGATCAAATCAACGGCACCCCACAAGAGTTCCCATGGATGAAAAACTAAAAACTAAAATGTACCTCTGGCTTCTTATCCTCTGGATCGGGAATGAACTCCTTATCGTCCCAATCCTCGGGCTACAATTATTATGTAGAAACAAACATTAGTCAGATAGAGTTCACTGAAATTCAATGACTTGCACCTGAAAATGAGTTGCAACTTTAATACTACATCAAAACCATTTTTTTAATTGTATAAATTATTCAGGTGCTTATATATTTTCTTTTTCTCCCTACTCCAGATAATAATACCCACTACTGCTTCAGCCAAAAGAGTTAAAACTACGTCATGGAAAGTGAGCAGTTATTTCCTCCGACCAATACATATAAATAATAGATAGAAATCAAATAAACCTTTTTGGCTGTAGGGTCCTTGATCTTCTTTGCAGGGAGAATACTCCAGTCAGTGTATAAGCTACCAGTCTGTTTTTCTGAGTTGTCAATGAGAATGCTGTAAGTAGCATCTGGGCGGAGGATGAAAGTATAGACATGAGTCAATTGGTCAGTCTCGCATGGAACATCCTTCTTGATCAAGTGGTTCGTTCCATTGTAGGTCAGAATAGCATGGACCTTTTTGGTGGAGTAGCCACAGATATCTGGTCCGAACATGATACTGCACACAAACAAGTTTACGAAATTGAAGTTTTAAATGAATGTAAGCACAAATGAGAAAAAAAAAAAAAAAAAAAAAAAAACAAAAGTTCACTATGAACATTGTGTGACCTGTACGGGGTGTCACCACCAAATTTTTTCTGGTCCACTTCACCACTGAGTAACTTCATGTATCCACCACCACAGTCAAGCTTCTGCTCATGCTTGACAGAAAACTGGAAAACCAAGGTTTTATCTTTATTGCTGAATTCAGGGTATTCAGCTGAGATCGCATAAAACCTATAATCTTCACTGGTCTGGATACCTGCAAAGAGATAAAAGTTCAAGATCTTAACTACTTTAGCACAATATATCTATCGATATACGACAAAACAACAAATAATTTGCAAGGGTATGGTTACCTTTGTCATTGGCATCCCCATTCCACTTTCCAGAGGTGTAATTCCACTCACCAGCCAAATTCTCGTCTTTCTTCCAATCGGATTTGACCCACCGGTTTTCCCATCCATCTTTACAAAGAACCCAACAAATATGAGTACAACACTATCAATGAAAACATCAACCAGATTTATCTAATAAACTAAAAGACAAATATTAGTTTTTTGAATTCGCAAACAAACTGCGAAATTGAAAAAAAACAAAGGATCCCCATTTATTCTGAAAGAAGCAATATCCATTAACGCAAAGCACGAAAAATATCAAGAGCACCAACTAGTACTCCTCACATATGTTAGCTAGCAAATAGTCATAGGGATCAAAATCAACTAGAGGCACACTGCATTCCAATAAGGCTAAATCAGCTGTCGTTATATGGTAGCATGACCATTCAAAATCCGTTAGAACAAACTACATCAAAGGAACAAAATAGATACACACATTTGATCACAAATCTAGCATCAGCCAACACAAAAAATTAAAATTAAAATCATAATAATTAATAAATAAATGAAAGCGTTTAGATTAGATATAATCTTAGATCTGTGCTAATTGATCTCGGTTTGATACGAATCAAATCAAAGGTTCTTCTGGTCCATCAAAACAATCAGATCAACGAAAACACAGAAACTAAGCACTGATCATTGAAATTAACCAATAAAATCACACAAAAGCTCGAAATGACCGCAATTACAGACGAGTTTTTCATCAACTAAGAGCGAATAAAAGCAGAGTGTGATCAGTACCATCAAAGCGCTCCTCGAAGAATACTTTGGCAGAGGAGACCACGAGAAGGAGAGATAGAACAACGCATAGAGAAAGAGAATTAGGGTTTAGTGATCTTCTCAGTGCAGTCGCCATGGCTGTGTCGTAGTTCAGAGCAAGAGAGATGATGCAGTTGCGATGTGTGTTTATAGTGGCGTTTGTTTTCATTTCAGCTCCGTGAATGACGTGGACGCTCTGTAAGACTGGACCAATAAGAGAAAGACACGTCACATTTGGTTGTCATTCTTTGACACGTGGCTGATAGTGATTCGGTGTTCATACGAATTGAAGTGTAGGATTTACCTGTGCGATGGGGGTTATTGACTACTTGTTTGTTGTAAAGGGTGTGATTGTATATGAGCAGTGTTCCATTAGTTGTTAGGCGCCTAGCGTCTAGAGTGTCTAGGCGAGGCTTAGGTGGGAACTAAAAATTAATATTAAATATTTATTTTTTTAATTTATACTATTTTTTTATTTTTTAGAATGCTAATTGTCAAATTTCTAGTAAGTTATTCGCTTTGGAATTTCATCAAACACATTGTCTACGTCATTATGTTTTAAGCAATTACACACTAATAACATTATATCAACCAACCAACACCAAATTTCAGAAATTTAACTCAACAAGGTTCTCTTGTTCCAATAAATTTCATTAAATTTTAAAATCAAGAAAACCTAATTACATAATGTATAGATTAAATTAAAAGTGAACTAACATAGTGCTCAAAAATCCCATAAAAACAATAAAATTACAAGAGTGAGTGATAAGAGGGAGGGTTGAATCCGGCGGCGAGTCACGTCCGACGGCGAGTCGCATCCGGCGACGAGTGAGGTCCGCTGAATAAGGGTCGCTGCTTAACGTGGTTTATGAGGTAGAGTTATGTTCTCTGTTAGTGTTCTGCACTCTAAATTTTGTTTGGTAAGAGGGCACCTGTCTTTTTTTTATTTATTTAAATTTTAACGTTTAAACTTAGCCAACAACGTCGTTTTGTTCATATATAACTAAAAAAAATACCTGTTAAACACCGAGCTTCACCATCTTTCCGTCTATCCCCGCCTGTTGCCGCCTAAGCCCGACGAACCTGTCGAACCCGCCTAGCCGCTAAGACCGCCGAGGACCGCCAAGGCCGCCTAGGCCCGACTAGGCGGCGCCGAGACCGACTAGGCGACGCCGAGCCCGCCTGGCCGATTTTTACGACCGACCAAATCGTCGGCGCCAGAACGCCGCCTAGGCCGATTTTTAGAACACTGTATATGAGTATGTGATTGGATATTTTGGTAAAAATTAGGAGTGATCGGAAATTATTAAATTTGATTTGATATAAAAGTACGAGATAGAGAGAGGATTCACAATAATAGTTAGTTAGAATTATGTGAGTGAATGAATAATCTATTAAAATTGATCTGATGTGAATGATTGATTGATATCATTTAATTTTATTCATAATAGAGGATAGTGGGGTTGAGTAAATATGCTATGAGGGTGCTTGAATACAAGTTTATTTGAGTTTTCATTAGATTTGTTCTTTGTCCAGAGCTAGTTTTAAAGAAGTTGGTTGTGCAATATTTGATTGAGATTTTGAGTTTGTATGAAAATAAAGTTTAAAATACTTAAAATGGATTTGATGTAAAAGAATTTTTTTTTTTT